AAACCGGATTTTTTGGGTCAAATTTTGTGTTGGACTTTTCTTGATTCCATCAAGAATCTGAACTCGAATTAAGCTTGTTCTGATTTTCAGTATAAGATTAGTTTCATTGGAGAGTATGAACTAGAAAACTAATTAACTAGCTATTGAAACTTTCAAGAATCAGTGACTTTTGTTGATTTGAGAAGTAGAGACATGTATGGTAAATGCTTAAGAGAATAAGAGAGTTTTGTGTTCTTGACATGATCATGTAAACTTCGATTTGGTGTCTAGGGAGAACTTTTGGGAGCGCAATACCGATCAGGTATATACTTCTACACACCCGAGCAAGAGAAACTAGCACGCGAATCGCTAGAGCATCAGCAGACGAAACTTGAGAAGAAGATTGTGACTGAGATCTTACCTGCAAAGAAATTCTACAAAGCTGAAGAATACCATCAGCATTACCTCGCCAAAGGCGGGATGCATGGTAATGCGCAATCTCCAGCAAAGAGCTGCAAGGACCCTATCCGATGCTACGGTTAATCAAAAGCATTTGTTCCCTCTTCACTCAAAAACAGAGGACCCTTTACCTGTTTGTTTGTGTGTGTATTGAGTCTGTAGTTTTCATTTCATAAATAAAGATGTGGGATCATCTCATCTGTGTAACTTCTCTTAAATTTGTATCAACTTCAACTAATAAATATTTGTATAATTTAGTGAGGCCCATAGTCATGAGATTTTTGGGGGGAGGGGGTTCAAGGCTTTGAAAAATCTGTGATATATTTAGCAGAAAGTTGAGTTGCAAGTTGCAAGACTTGAATTAGTGATCTTTTTGACCAAAAAAACCCAAACAACTAACCAATTAAACTCATACAATTATATGATAAGTATCTTCAAGCATATATATCACTGACCTGTATTGTTTTTTTTTTTAATGTAAAAATATTATTCAGCCAAAAAGGTTTTACAGTAAATGTTTACTCTACTTTAAAATGAGTTTTGAAAAAGTTGAATAAAGCTTCTAAAAATCAAAACGTGGGAAACATAGCATAGAAAGACTCCTCAAAAAGCTTGAGAGACAAACTATTCTATCAACCCTTCTTGTAAGATATATC